AGTTGTATAGGTTGCCAGCCACCAAATATGATTGATTTTATAGGAGATTATTTTTAGGTAGAAATCTTGGGTGAAAATTCACTAGCTAGTTGAAATTTTCACTAAGTCAAAATTTTAGAGGTTTTCTCTCTTGTGGCAGTATTTATTTTTGTTTCATAGTCTTTCTACTTTGTAGAATAACAGTGTAACTAATACCAGTGTAACTAGTGTTTTTACCCCAAGTTTGCTTATTTTTGTCTCCAATCTTTTTAGGGAGTGGAAGATGATTTTTATTTTGTTTGTAGTCTTACCATCCATTTATGCACTTTAAAACTAATATAGTCATGTTTTGCCTGTTTTGGAACTTTTTTGGAATCATGCTGTGTGTATTCTCCTGTGTTATCTTTCACTCAGTATCATTTATGCGAGTCATCTGAGTTGTGGTGTGTTGCGTTAGTTTTTCATTTGATTTCTTTGTAGGAAAATATTTCATTATTGATCCATTCTCCTGTTAATGAAGAATTGTGTTATTTCCAATTTCTGGTTACTAAGAACAATACAAGTATGAACATTTTTGTCCATGTACCTTGGTGCCCATTTTCCTGTTTCTTTTTTTTTTTTAAGATTGGCACCTGAGCTAACAGTTGTTGCCAATCTTTCTTTTTCTTTTCTGCTTTTTCTCCCCAAATCCCCCCGTACATAGTTGTATATCTTAGTTGCGGGTCCGTCTAGTTGTGGCATGTGGGACGCTGCCTCAACGTGGCCTGACGAGTGGTGCCATGTCCATGACCAGGATCCAACCAGCGAAACCCCAGGCCGCTGAAGCAGAGTGTGCAAACTGAACCACTTGGCCACAGGGCTGGGCCCCCCATTTTCCTGTTTCTCGTAGATGTATCCCAAGGAATAGAAGAGCCGGGTCATAGGGTGTGTCTGTTTTCAAGGCTACTTACTAGCAAATTCTTTCCCAAAGTGGTTGTACCGATTTACATTTCCACCAGTAGGTAAATGAAAATACTACAAGCTCTACATTATTGCCAATGAGAAAACATAATATCTATAAAAAATAAAGTTTCTTGGGCATATTACCTTTTAAACTTAAATATAACAGACAGACACACACACACGCTACACTCCAAGAAATAGTTGGTTAATTTTGCTTAGGATTAACATTTATATAAGAGACAAATACCATTTTAGCTTTGGAGTTGGTTAAGTTGTTGCCATAGTTACCTATTTTATACCTCTGCTTCCTGCCTCCATAATTGAGATGGTAGTGATATCTTTGAGATAATGGGAAAACGTGTTTTTTTCTTTATATGAAAACTTCTTGCCACTGCCTTCGAAGGGCGTGGATTACAACAGTATGATCTAAAATGGGAGAAACTTTAGCCGGATATTAGAAGATTCAATAATCATTAGTTTAGGAATATTTTGAAAGACGTATTCAAAGTTTTGTGTAACTTTGATTTTTATCCCCAACAACTTCATTAGCCCTTGTGCCCTTTCCTTGGGATAGGGTTGTGTTAACTACTTACAGTTTGTATAATTTCTAATTGAAGATGATATACTTCCTTCCCTGGCAAAAGATATTAAGCTGTGTTATACACTAAAAGCAAACATGTAGTTTGTGATGCAGTGTGACACTATAATAGACATTTTTTTAAATTAAATAGAGCACAGTGAAGGTCAGAGATTTATTGTATTTAGTGGATTGTTTCTAGAAAGAATTTTTTAGAATGACATTCTCCTAGCTTTTCTATTACTTTGATACAAATTTGTTTTCTTTGGCTTGTTTTTATTAGTAGAAACCCTCAGATTTGGGAGGGAATGCGCTACTAGACTATATAACACCACAGGATCCCTGCAGTGGGGCATAGCTGGTAGGAACAACAGAGGGTGCACACCTCTGGGATATTTGCCTGGGAACGTTGTTTTTCTTTGCTGCTTCCTTTACAGAAATTTTTAATGTAGCAATAGCGTAGTAGTTTTGGCTTTGGCAAAATAACCTTCTCTCTTTCTCACAAACATTTGTTTTTTACGGAGTGATAACAGTATTTTTAAAATGTGCACTCAAGCAGTTTTGAGAGAAAAATGAACCAAGTAAACACTGATCTGCATCTGAAGTCATTGACGAATTCTTTTGGTCTTTGTCAGATATAGAAGAATCTCTTTACAGTTCTAGAGAGTGTATTTTTTTCTTTTTTATTCCCGATTATTTTACATATTCATTTCTGTCGATAGCACTCCACATCTGTATATGTCTGATGTCTTTAGTCCAATTATGTTACTTTATTTTTCCATTATTTGCTGTTTCTACTTTTTTTGCTGTCATGTATAGTGCTGTTGGATATATCTTCAAGTTACTAATTTTTGAGGTAAGAGTATTTCTTTAGGATATGTATCCCAAAATGGAATCATTTTTGGGTATGGGTTTAAGGCAATTGTAACTCATTTCTCTATAGTTCTGGGGACCTGGTGAATCCATTCACGGTATCTACCTATGTCGTGTTTCCTTCGATCCCTGCCATTACTGGGTTGAAGTTTTAAAAATTTTACTTTTGTTATTAATAACATGGGTATAGTAATATATTTTGATATTTATTCTTGTTCGGTAGCAGTTTGTTTTACGTTTTTTCATACTATGGTTTATTGTCCTGGGTGCATTTAATCTTTGGTCGTTTTATCAGAATGAATCAGAGAATTGCCCCAACGTGGATTTTACATAGCTAACTTCTTTGCTTTCACTTTATTTCATTGTGCAAATTTCTTATCTAATGTTAAAAATTTGTATCCATTTTGATGTTTTACTGCAGCAAAATATCAAAATAATTTATTCTGAAACGTGAAATAAGAGTATAAATTTATAAAGCCTTATTGGTGAGAATTTTGCTTGTAAAAACTCTTCATTTCTGGTTATTAGTTTTCTAAAGTAGGTGTTTAGCAATTTAATTTTTATCCTTTGCAAAATTTTCCTGATGAGACTTAATAAATGCTGTAACATTTCATGGTAAACCTCATGCTCTTATAAATGTAATTTTCACTCAAAATTGGAAACAGTTTTTTGTGAAAAGCATGAAGCTATTAAAAAAGCAATAGAAATTAAATACAATTAATTTAAGTCTTAAACTTTGGTCACATTTTAGCATCATTCATTCTCTTTTAGCCTGTAAACTTTTGACTTTGGTTAGTTCTCCATGGTTCCATTTTATTTCAGCATTGGGGTCAGGTAGCCAAGCCTGTAGGTGTTTATGTCTTTTAGATGGACATAAGGGATTTGAAGGTTAGGGTACCAAGGAGTAGACTTTCTTCAGAGCTTCTGACTGATTGAGGGAATTCCAGGAGAATCTAATGTCATTTGGAGACCACTTTTCTTAATACTTGGGCAGAGACTTTGACTGTGATAGAATTCAGAGGATCTCAGAACTTAGATGGGGCCTGGCCAGTGGCGTAGTGGTTAAGTTTGTTGTGTGCTCCTCTTCGGCGGCTTGGGGTTTGCTGGTTCAGATCCTGGGCGTGGACCTACACACTGCTCATCAAACCATGCTGTGGTGGCATCCCACATGGAGAAACTAGAATGACTTGCAACAAGTATATACAACTATGTACTATGGGGAGGGGGAAAAAAAAGAGGAAGATTGGCAACAGATCTTAGCTCAGGCCCAGTCTTCCTCACCAAAAAAAAAAAAAGAGAGAGAGAACCCCACCCTAAGGAGAATGGATTCTTTAATATTAGATGACTGCAGAATTGACCCCCCATTAATAGAGGTTTGCAGACTGACAGTACTGGTCTGGGATAGACTGTGATAGAGAGCTGCTGGCTAGGGTTGATTGCTGGACTCTAGAAAGGGGCCTAAGTGATGTGGTTTCATATCTGTCAAAGGCTGATGGGCAGTGTATTGCCAGCAGAAGGTGGGGAAATGTAATTTTTGTTTACACAAAAATATGCTCATTATTTTTCTGTTGTACAAGTTCATTACTTGAACTATATTGGAAAATAAAAATGAGGAAAAAAAGGAAATACCTGTAATGCTCCTTACAGATCTTTTTTTGTTTGTTTTTAATTTTTTTTAAAGATTGGCACCTGAGCTAACATCTGTTGGCAATCTTCTTCTTTTTTCTCTTCTTCTCCCCAAAGACCCCCAGTACATAGTTGTATATTCCAGTTGTGAGTGCCTTTGGTTGCGCCATGTGGGCCGCCGCCTCAGCATGGCCTGATGAGTGGTGCCGGGTCTGTGCCCAGGATCTGAGCTGGCAAAACCCTGGACCGCCGGAGTGGACCACACGAACTTAATCACTCAGCCATGGGGCCGGCACCCTTACAGATCTTTTTAATATGATATATTATATTTGTATGTGTATATGCATGTTCTATGTATGGGCACACATATATAGACGGGTATGCATATAGAAATATATATACATATGTGCATGTATATGTATATTTAGATGTACTTTTTTAAAAACTAAAATGAGATTATACTCTATAAGTAACTTGCTCTGTTTCTGGTTCAGGTTTATTGAGATATAATTTACATACTGTAAAATTTACCTTTTTTAGTGTATAATTCTGTGAGTTTTGACAAACACATCAAGACATGTCATCTCCCCCACTGCAGTCAAGATGCAGGACAGTTATGTCGTCCTCCAACATCTCCTTGTGCTTGTTGTATAGTCATCCTCTTCCCTTTGCAATCATTTATCTCTTTTTTGTTCCTTTTACAAAATGTCATGTAAATGGCATTGTACAGTATGTAGTTTCAAGTCTGACTTTCATCTAGCATATGTTTTTCTTTATGGGTTTTGGTTTTAGATTATGCTTCAATAATCTTTTACCAAATTGATGAAATGTTCATTTTTTTCTAAGAATTTCATTACTTCATTCTTGAAAATATAAGCCTTTAGTCTGGCACTTATTATAAATGGTGAGATGGAGAATCCAATTTTTAAAAATTAGCTAGTTGAGCTATATTAAGATTGAGTTATTAATATAATACTCTTATTAAATATTGATTTCCTCACAGGTAACACAAGTAGCAAGACAGCCGGGACCCCCGACCCCTTCCCCTTATTCAGCACATGAAATAAACAAGGGGCATCCAAATCTTGCGGCAACGCCCCCGGGACATGCATCGTCCCCTGGACTCTCTCAAGTAAGAAAAACTCATTTTTCAAAAGAAATTTCTATGTAAAAGCAGCATTTCTGTTTTTCTAAAGCTAACTTTTAATCAGTAACATACAACGTTGCTTGACGATTAATTTCTGTTTTGTCTTTGCATATTTTTAGACACATGTCCCATAATATTGGCTACTAACAATTTGATACATTTCATTATGGAGTCATTCAAAATGAACTTCCAGTGATATTTAGTTTTCCTTTTTGTTGTTTTAGAAAATAGATAATGATTCTAAAGTCCATTAAAAACCCCACTCGGGGCCTGCCACGTGGCCGAGTGGTTAAGTTCCTCCACTCCACTTCAGTGGCCCAAGGTTTCGCCAGTTCGGATCCTGGGCGAGGACATGGCACAGCTCATCAAGCCATGTTGAGGCGGCGTCCCACATGCCACAATTAGAAGGACCCACAACTAAAAATATGCAACCATGTACCGGGAGGCTTTGGGGAGAAAAAGGAAAAAAAAAAACCCCACAAAGCACTTACTTGCTCTTTAATGCATAATCTGCTAGTCTCCCTCTCCCTTTTTGGTAGAGTGTTGGTGGTTATCTTCTACTTTTGTAAAAATTGTGGGTGTCTTTCCTTCTTAAGTAATTTTAGTGGGCTTTTTTGTTTGTTGGTTTGGTTTTTGACTCCTAAATAGATTAGTGGAATTTGTTAGGCTTAAAATTTTGTTGAACTGTTAAAGAGTAGTGAACTCCTTAGTGTATTTCTAATTAACAGGCGCAACAGACATTGAAACAATCTTTTAAGAAGGTGTCACTATAGGTCTTCTGTATTTTAAGCCATTTCCCAAGATACCGCCAGCTTGCACTAGTCCACTATCACATGCTTATTTGAGTTTCCTTGTGATTAAGAGAGGGCTAGAGTTATGAAGTCTCTTATTGGAATGTGGAGAGAGTCAAGCCAATAACCTTCACCCATGCTGTTTGAGATTGTCAGTATTTACACATAAGAACTGCTCCTTTTACTAGTGAAGATTGATTTTATAACTGTTTTCAATTTTGGCTTCCATATTTTATGCCTTTTAGAGCTTGAGTAATAAGAATGATAAGGAGTTACTTACTAAAAATGCTAAAAGCTAGTGATTATATTAGGGGCTGATTGATAGTTTAGCCTACAGAATGTTTGGAGAAGGATTGTAAAACTTGCCAAACCATGATTGAAATAGCCCTATTAAGGAATATGTAAATTAATTTGGACTTAGTGCTATCCTTAAACTTGGTCTAAATCATTCCTATTTAAGTTTGAGTTTTAAAACTAAAACATGTCAAAATCATTTCTTAATTGTTTAAAATGAAGTTCTTGTGTTGGTTTTCATGGCACTGAACAGAATCATCCAAGCTATTAATAAGGTATATTGATCTGACTCTAATCAGGAGAGAAAAACTGTTTAGTAATTTGAATAGGGGAAGTTTAATGTAAAGGATTATTAAGTATAACGGGATTGGAGTAATGAAGGATTGCCTAATAAGGAAGAGAACTCTAAAGAATATAAAAATAGCAAATATGAGGAGTAGCTGCTTCTCCTGTCTTTGAGATAGGGTACCCATGGAAGAGTCGTCTTCTCCAGGGCTATCAGAGAATGCATGGCCGTGGCTCACCTAATGGTAGAGAAGTCATGTAGTGTCATACCAGTGGAACATGCTAGAAGTCCTTCCTGTGGAACTTGCTGGAAATTCGCTCTATGAGACAGTGTGGAAAGCTGGCTTCTCTCGCATCGATCTCCTTTAGCAAAGAGCTGTTGCAGTTCACAGTGGCTAGAGGCTCCTCACAGCATCTGTTTACCATAGACATCTCAAATAACCTTGGATCTGCTGGATCCTAGGTCCCATGTGATAGAGCAGCTTGCTCTGCAACCTGAACTTGCTTCAGAGCCTTCTTTTGTTCTGTTCCTCACTCACTTTTTTTCCAAACTCAAATTTGGAAACCTCCTAGGTGGCTCTGTAGGTTGGTCGAGGTGTAGGACACTCAAATGTAGTCTGTGTTGCCTGCAAAATCCAAAAAAGGCGTACGAAACCTTGTGCCTCCTTATTTCATGGTAGTTAGTGTTAAGTAAGAGACTGCTCTGCCCACCCTGGGCACAGATCCAGATCTTATTGGACAGGGCATGCTGTGGCTTGCTGAGGGGTAGAGAGTTGCTGTGGTGTCACATCAGTGGAACATACTGGAAATCTACCTTCTGCAACTTGCCAGAATTGTGCCTTCACAGGGAAGTTTCTTAGAGGAGGCATTCTGCTGCAGAATTGCCTGCAAGGGCACCAGGGGCAGCTCTTGGCCACTGGGTACTGCTGGCTGCTGTGCATTGCAGCAGAAACCTGGCACTGAAGAAGCTATGCAGTGTTTGGCAGCAGAACGCGGAAGAAGCCAGATTCTATAGGAGCTACCTCTACTGCAGTGCAAGCCCAGAGGAGCCAAGAAGCGAAACCCTTTCCTCCTGCACTGTCTGCACAGTGCCCTCCACTGACGAAGCTTAACGTTGTGCCAGCTGAAATGGAAAAACATTTAAAGAGCCCAGATCCATTTTCACTGTACAGGCAAACAAGGCGAATTTTGAGTTGAAAGACAGGCAACCTATAACTGGCACATAAGGGAGAAAACTTAGTTTTCCATTTCAAATTTATACTGTTTCAAATTGTGATTTGACCCAAGAGGTTGTCTCAAAGCACTTAAGTTTTCTGAAAGACAAGGCTGCTTGCAAATGCGTAGTTTGTATTGAAGGAAGGCTGAAAGGATGATCTCGCAGTCGTCTCAGTTGTTGAGCCCACAAATGCCTTTCTGTATGTCATTTTATTAGTTGCCTTTTGATGTCAGGGTACATGAATCCCGGGATGAAGTGTCACCAAATATTTGCTTTTCTTTGTGGTCTCTTTTGCTACCATTTTGTCTGATCTGATGGATGAACCCAGTACGTCACACCTGGTTCACTGCTCCATTTCCCCCCCCCTGCATTTCCCACAGAGGCAGGCTTGTATGGATTCATTTGTCTCCTAACCACATCTTAACGTCTGTTGATAGAGTGAGGAAGTTTTTCTAAATTGACATACCTGGGAAAATGAGGAGTTTTATGGGAAACTCAGTCTCCTTAGGTTAAACACTTGATACATTTGTGGATCATAATGGAAAGCAGAGCTTTGTTTTGTTTTGTTTTTTTTTGAGGATTTGCACCTGGGCTAACAACTGTTGCCAATCTTTTTTTTTTTTTCCTGCTTTAATTCCCAAACCGCGCCCCCCCCCCCCCCCCAGGTGCATAGTTGTATATCTTAGTTGCAGGTCCTTCTAGTTGTGGGATGTGGGATGCCGCCTCAACGTGGCCTGATGAGCGGTGCCATGTCCGTGCCCAGGCTCCGAACCCTGGGCCCCCGCAGCGGAGCGCACGAACTTAACCACTCGGCCTCAGAGCCGGCCCCGCAGAGCTTTCAAAATAGAGGAAAAAGGCTTGGAGTCAAATAGACTTAGGTTCTGGGGCGTGGTCTGTCACTTTCTGGTTACGTGATGTTGGGGAAATTATTTAATATCTCTAGAACTTGGTTTCCTCGTTTGCTATATGGGGGAGAATTAGAATTCTACCACCCTTTAAGGAGGGTTGTTATGAAGGTTATATAAAATCCTGCCTCAGAATAGGACATGCTAGATGCTTTCAGTATGTGCCATTTATTATTTTCATGCCTGTCAGACTTGGTTCTCCTCAGGATTTGTGTGTGTGTGTGTAACTCATCTAATTTAGCAACCTGTCTGGTATTGATGTGAAACTCTGAAGCTCTCCCCAGGAGTTTGAGCTGTTGTCCAGGTTTTGCTTATTGTAGGTTTTTGCTTTTCCCTTGTATGAGGATGAAAATAGCGGCCAGCCTTGCTCATTTTCTTTTGGCAGTAGTGTGGTTTATTCTTTTGCACTATTAGACTCAAATAAACTGAAGATAAGATTAAAGAAACCTTTTTATCAACAGCCCTTTTTGATGTGACAGTTTCCCTTTCTTCTGTGAATCAGATCTTTTTGTCCCAAGTAGCTACCTGTGTCTGTGATTTGACACTAAATGAATCTATTAGGTTCTAAGTGAAAGCAGCTAAGCTGAAGAAAAGTGAATTTTCATAGCTTTGAAACATAGAAGAGGGAAAATGTAGAAAATTGCTCCCAGTTTCTTCCTTACATCATCAGTGGCAGCCTCTTCACTTCTTTCCCTTCAAGATAGGATTTTATACACATGTGTAACACGATCATACACGTGTGCACATGGCAAATTTTAAGGCTTTGTGTACGTTTTCCTTTGTTACATGTCTTCTAGATCTTTCTGCCCTCTCCCTTCTGGAAGTTTTGTTTAGTCAAAGTAAAAAACTTTTTACTATTAACGCCATTAGAGATTAATCGTTAAAATGACATTTCCAAACTATGGTAAATTTGTGAGAGAGAGAGTCTTTTTAGGTGTGGATTCTTTTCAGTTGCTTTGAAATGACAGCATTTGTACAGTCTCTAAACCCAGAATGTCCTTACTCTGGAAAAGGTAAAGAATTTGGAATTTAAAAGTATCTTTTCTGGCAGATTTTGTTAGCGCTTACGAGCAAGTTCCTTACCTGCTACACAAGAGGGGCCAAATAACGGGAATGCCAGGCTTATAGCAGGGCAAGCGTTTTTATTTCGGATGATATCAGCCGGGAGATGAGAGTGAGCCCTCAAATTTGTTTCATTTTGCCTCGTCTCCCCAAAAGATGGGAGGCGAGGGGTTTTAAGGGTTTGTGAGGAATGTGGCTTGTAGGGGGCGGGCAGTGGCCTTGGTGGTTCAGCCTTGGGAGGCTGCTTGCAGGGAGGAGGAGGAGGTGATAAGGAATCCAAGTGGGCGACCTTGGCTGTTGGTCTCCATGGATAGTGGATTCTGGAGCTTGGGAGCCAGGGAGTAAGCAGGGAATGAAAGTTTTGGTTTTAACTCCATATATGCTGGGTTTAGTGTACGGGAACTGATAATCAGGGCTGACATGAATTTCAAA